TTTTTTTTTTTTGTTTTTTTTTTTTTGATTGAATATATTTATTCAATAGCTGACAGGCTTCCAACTGCCCTTGATGTATGACTTATCCGATTTCTAACTTGCTTTTAATAAAAGTGATTTCAATACCGGACCTGAGGAGCTTCAGTATGTATTCACGCAACGCTGCTCAACCTAGTAACGATACCGTCAGTAAATGCGCTTTGATTTTTACCTCCGCCAAGGAGGGTATGTTTTCACCCCTGTTTGTCTGTCTGTCTGTCAGCAACATAACTCAAAAGGTTATGGACCGATTTTGATAAAATTTTCAGGAACTGTCAGAAGTGGGCCAAGGAAGAGATGATTAGTTTTTGGTGGTGACATTTCTTTACATATGTAGAAATCACAGTGAAACATTGGATTTGAGGGGGTACCTGTTATAAATTTGATTAAATGGTATAAAATGTGTATATTTTCACCGCTATTTTGTATTTTTTGAACCATTAATCATGTAGGACATGGTTTCTGGAATAAAAAGCACTAGTTATAACAGTTTACACCTGTGAGCTGATCATTTGTAAATAAAAGTACATGGAAATGGGGGTGGGACAACCTTTTTTACCAATGTTGTATGATCTTGATGGGGCAACTAGGTCGACATAACTCATTCTGAACGCCCCATATGCATAAGACTGTTGTGGAAAAATATTATAACATAAATATAGCAAAAAGGGTAAAGAAAGTGGGGTTTTTCACAAGAATGACAGACGAGGCAAATGAGTGTAGCGTCAACTGATGCCACGCTACTTATTAACTGTACGTTTGTGTCCAGATTTGATTTTTCGTTGGAGTATACATGCACTTAAAATTACTTAGTAAAAAGCTTTATATTATTTCGTTTGAAAATATTTCATAGGCAGTTACATTTTTTTCTAATAAATTCCTTCTTTTGATTTTCAACTACTGATATTTTATTAAAACATTTCTAAATTGTTAATAATAATAATTATGATTATGATAATAATAATAAACTCATCTGTCTATATATCTGTGTCAGGATTTGAAAGCTTAAGTTGTCAGAAAAAGTGCCTGGATCAGCAGGTGTCACGAAACTGAGGGTCCGTATAACAGAAAGTCCGCCCTCCATATAGTTATAATGGTTAGGGTTAGTCTGACCTAAGTGGGTCAAAATCTAGGGCGAGGCTCACCTGTACAAATGAATGGGAAGCGGACCCTCGGTCTGTCACGTTACACCGGCCCTGTAATTGACGATTATATTGTCTGCTGTTCATAGTCCCGTAAGGTCGGTAACACAAAAGACTTTTAATAGCGTTTTCGTGGTGTATAAGTGCGGAAACCAGTGCAGTTCAGGGATGGTCGTAAGGAGGGAGGGTAGGAATGGGCGCAGGATTTAAAATATTCCACCATGTTTATTCGGCAAATATATTGTAAGTACGAGGATGACATAACACTTGGTATTGTCCCGTTTTGCCAGTTTCAATTTTTGAGGGAGTTTAGGGAAGGAGCGCGTGCCCACTGTACCCAGTTTTTTTTACTAGAAATTTTAAGTTTTTGCAATTTCTTGTAGCGTTTTAAATCTAAAGATTGAGATAAGGAGCTCTTGTCTGAGAGTTGGTTTTATGTTTAACGTCTGCAAATAGGTAGAGTCGCCCTTGTCTAAAATTAAACAGTTATCATTTCTTTCTTGATATAAAACAAACGCAATATTCTATATAATAGAACTTACAACTTCTACATACATTGTACTGCTTCTTAATAACTGTATCAAAGAAGACGGATATTTTGCCGTAAAAGTTTGGTCCAGCTCTAGTCCATCAGTTATTTCGTTATAAAGCCCCAGGGCTTTCTATAATTTGTATAAAATACAGATTTATTTAGGTAGTTAAGTTGTACTTACACGCAAATTCCGCGAACACACCACGTTCCACAATGATCATAAATGTATCCTAGCACCGATGTTAGCACAAGCGACGCACAAGCCAGAGTGTAAGCTAAGTTTAACATTTCTTGTTGTGGGGCACACCCCAGCTCAGCCAGGTGATCGTGCTCTTGCTCGCCGGACGTCGTCACGTTTATGTCGGGCGAGTATGTGAGAGTGGTGTTGTCGCAGAGATTGGCGTAAAACCCTGCATCCCTGAAGATGAAGACCAGCGACGGCCACCCCTGCACACACACGCTGAAGAGGCCAACTTCGATCAAGACGAAAGCCACGAGGAAGGCTTTGTACAGCGCAGGCTCCTTTCCCCTCTTCATGCTTTATGCACGCTCTCCGGTGCGGACCTTGGTCAGTTATATTCACCTAATGACTCCTTATGAGGTAACTTATGCGACTGTATGAAAAGAACGAACAAAAAGTGGTCAAGCAGCCGCAGATGAAATATTTATCCTGTTAGCACGATTGAAAGGTTTTAATCTATTACTCGACGTCACCAAGCGTCTTTTCCAGTTCGTCACCAACGGGAAAGTGTACATTACGCCGCGGACTGATACCGGTGATTTTCCTGCGTTGTCACGTGGTCAAGCCGTCGTGAACGGACGGCTGTGAGATAATTCGGCTGTTTTTCAAAGTTATTTATGAGCAGCATCCTTTGACCCTGGGGTAAACTGAACTTCTTTCAGCCTGTGGCCAGTTTTGTTCAGTGGCCGGGGGTATACCTGTATACATTTGTCACAATAATACAGCCATTCTAGTCTATTCTATTACATAATACCGACAACAATGTTGGTGTAATCTTGGACCTAAATAGAGAAGGACAAGAAACGCGGCATCTTCCTTTGAAGCTATGTGCGTTCGGGTAAACATTCGCCTATTGTCTCACATAATCTGTTTTGATAGCTCCACGGGCGTCTGAACAGCTTATTATCAAGGTAGCGCGCGCTGTGCTTCAGTGCATTTCTATATTGTTTCTCTGCATTGATAACGCAATTTCTCGCAGTCCCTCGTGGTTGCTATGATACAGCATTGCCGCCATCTTGCAGTTGCGAGCACACAGGTTTCCGTCAACACGTGGAAATTTATTGAGGGGTTTTCGGCATTTTTCCCCGTTACCTCATAAAAACGGGGTGTGAAGTTTGTCTTCAATACCTGCTGCCTTTCCCTGTCCGTGAGGTAGTCTCTGACAGGACAGGAATA